ATGCAAAGGAACACAGCCGGCTAAAACAACATACGCAGGTTTCTGACATTGCGCTCCAAAAGCAAGTTTTCAGAATAATCAAAACCCCATCACACCAGGAAAGCGTCGGCTGGTGCGGTGCCTATAGGATCGACGAGAGCTTCTGCGACACAGTGTGTGCTGCCATCGATTGGTTCTCCATCTGAGGACACGACGATCAGTGATCATGTACCGAATTTCCTGTACGCGGGAGCAATCAGCCTGAAACGCACAAGTGCCAGTACAGATCTGCACGTCTTGCATACTACAACTCAAGAATCAACACAGGCGGTGGCTATGTCCTGGAGCAATATCCAAGAGTTCTCGGAGATGTGCTCGTTGAGCATTGATGTAGATAATGAGCAAAAGGTCCGGGCCGATATGATTCTCAAAGACATGCTCTGCTAAAGTATTCAGAAGCGTCAAATCAGAAGGATGGGGAGGATCTGACATTGTTTCCGTAAGCTGATAGCATGTCTCTGTAGCATCCGGCTCCTGCTGCCATCCATCCAACGAGGACTGAAATATAGTTGTGTCACCATCACTGCAATGTAAACCATGCAATGCAACAGTACCACTGGGTCTGGATCTGCGATGTGGGACCTCTCTCCCGCTGACAATACTGCTTCCAGAATCACCAATTCGAAGATCAGAGGAGGGGCTGAATATCGGCGATCTGGAGCGGCTGCCCGAGCGCGGAGCAATGACAGTAGCAACAGCAGTCAGAAAGAGAGTAAAGAACATCATGCCGGCAGAGGAATGCAATGCTTATATTTAAAGCGAGTGAAAGGCAACATGCATAACAAAAACATCCATAGGAGTAGTGGAAGCGGTGCTGACTATCCCGTCTCTATCGAGACTCATGACGACAACTGAAACATACAGACATACAGATATATGGACGATCCCACGAGAGAAAACAGTTCGAGTCAGGAGCTTAACCCAGGAGCCCAGAAAGGAAGCATGAAAAGCCCAATAGAGTTCAGGTCCTTTGCCGCGGCCCACCCGTCCAACCCAGGAACCCAGAAAGGAAACATGAAGGAACTGAATGGGAGCCTCAGAATTCAGAAAGGAAACATGAATGGAGCCCAATGGGAGCCCAGGGCCCTTGCCGCGGCCCAACCGTCCAACCCAGGAGCCCAGAAAGGAAACATGAAGGGAGCCCAATCTTTGCCGCGGCCCTCGCGTCCAACCCAGGAGCCCAGAAAGGAAACATGAAGGGAAGTGAATGGGAGCCCAGGTCCTTCTCCGCGGCCCACCCGTCCAACCCAGGAGCCCAGAAAGGAAACGTGAATGGAAGTGAATGGGAGCCCAGGTCCTTCGCCGCTCCAACCCAGGAGCCCAGAAAGGAAACAGGAAGGGAGCCCAATAAAGCCCAGGTCCTTCGCCGCGGCCCACCCGTCCAACCCAGGAGCCCAGAAAAGAAACATGAAGGGAGCCCAATGGGAGCCCAGCCAGTTTGCCGCGGCCCAGCCATCCAACCCACCGCGGCCCACCTTTTTCCTGAGGAGAGAACCCCAAACCGTACCTGTTTGGGGAAATTCATGCGTGAAAAAGAAATCTCAGTCAAAGAGGAACATGTCATGCGCATTTGACAAGAGTCGCACAAAAGGGCAAACCCTTCAGTGAGCATCAAAGGCGTTACCCACCAGGGCAACGCAAAGTACATGAGAAGAGATTTTCAAAAGAAAGGACGGTGAGCATCTCACCTGTCGGCTAGAGGATAAGAAGATATCACGAGTCGTGAGATTGTCTTTATCCTTCTTCGCCATTCTTTTCATGTGAAATCAAACAAATATAATCTGGATATCAAATCATATAGTTGATTCCAGAATCCAAGTCCCAGCAAAGACAAACAAAAGAAAACATATTCATCACATAAGATATTATCAAGAATACAAGCTCTCTAGGACGGACGGTCTTCCCGAAAGCATCGCGAAGGGTTCTTCCGTGTGGAACGCCGCAGCTGAGTACATAGATGACAGACATAGAATCAACTTACTTGACTCCATACTTTACTCTACACTTGATACTTGACTCTACACTTGATACTTACTTACTTACTTGACCCCTATTTTGACTGACTCTCTACACTTGACACTTGACTCTATGATACTTGACTCTACACTTGATACTTGACTCTATGTTATGCTTACGACTTACTTACTTACTTACTTACTTCAATCTACTTACTAACTTACTTGACACTTGACACTGGACTCTATGCTATCTCTATACTTACTTATACTTACTTATACTTACTTATACTTACTTATACTTACTTATACTTACTTACTTACTTACTTGACTTGCTTAGTTACTTACTTACTTACCTACTTACTTACTTTTACTTACTTACTTACTTACTTACTTGACTCTATGCCTCTATGACTTACTCTCTACATCTCGGTATCTAATTCTCTCTTCTAAAGCCAGGGGTGGCACCGTTGTCGTCCATCGGGAATGCAACCCTTCCCAGGGATTCGCTTCCTCGGGCGTTCAAACGCGAGGTAAAGTTACACATTTTAGGTTTCCCGCGCAACCCTTCCCAGGATTCGCTGCCTCGGGCGTTCAAACGCGAGGTAAAGTTACACATTTTAGGCGCGCGGGTGAACCCTTCACAGGGATTCGCTGCCTCGGGCGTTCAAACGCGAGGTAAAGTTACACATTTTGCGGTTCCCGCGCAACCCTTCACAGGGATTGGAACTCTCGGGCGTTCAAACGCGAGGTAAAGTTACACATTTTAGGTGCGCGGGTGAACCCTTCACAGGGATTCGCCTCCTCGGGCGTTCAAACGCGAGGTAAAGTTACACATTTTAGGCGCGCGGGTGAACCCTTCACAGGGATTCGCCTCCTCGGGCGTTCAAACGCGAGGTAAAGTTACACATTTTGCGGGCGCCGTGAACCCTTCACAAGGATTCGCCTCCTCGGGTGTTCAAACGCGAAGTAAAGTTACACATTTTGCGGGCGCCGCGCAACCCTTCACAGGGTTTGGGCGCAGCTCAACTGCATTTTGCAACCCTTCACAGGGATTGGCATTTTGCAACCTTTCACAGGGATTGGCATGGTCGAATGCACGAACGCTAGGTAAAGTTGCATTTTTTGATGTGCATTGAAATGAATTTTGCACCCTTCACAGGGATTGGCGTGGTCGAGTGTTCGAACGCGAGGCAAAGTTGCAATTTTTGATGTGCATTGAGATGAATTTTGCAACCCTTCACAGGGATTGGCGTGGTCGAGTGTTCGAACGCGAGGTAAAGTTGCAATTTCTGATGTGCATTGAGATGAATTTTGCAACCCTTCACACGGATTGGCGTTGTCGAGTGCTCGAACGCGAGGTGAAGTTACACATTTTGCGGTGCTCGCGGAACCCTTCACAGGGATTGGCTTGAGAGGGATTTGCTTCTTCGATTGTTCTAATCGGTAGGTGTGCAACAGGTCAATTGGCAACCTTTCAGAGGGATTGGCAGGATTGGCAAATGCATATATCGATAAGAATAATATACACATATATATATATATATGCATAAATATATATATATATATATATATATATATATATATATACATATATATATATATAGATAGATAGATAGATAGACACATATATTCATGCGCTTGTACGGCGCGCACGCTGTCTTGCGACGGCGCACCGCGCCGCTGCCTGGCCGACGACTTCTGCAGGCTCGGAAACGAGATTCGGGGAGCAGGCTTCACGGGGAATTGGCGTTCCGGATGATTGTCCATGTCAGCTTCTGTTGCAGCGAGGTGTCAGAGTCGTCGCCAGGTGGGATGTTTTGTGCTCTGAAGTGAAGTATAGCTGTCAGGCCGATGAGCCGGTGTCGCAGCAAAAGCTGCAAGAGCTGCGCGCTCTGCAGGCTCGGAAGCGAGATTTTTTTTTTAATGCATATATCGATAGGAATTGCATTGGAAAGCAGATTGCATGCGGTTTCCCTAGGCTGCCGGATTTGGATGCTTCACTTGTCTGGGCATTGGTCTGGCTGCCCAGGTCCGTCGTGGCAAGCAATCGTCTGGAGTACAAGTTTCTGTACGCGGCGAACGCTGGCTGTGTGCGGTGCACGCAGTGCTACGCCGGCCTCCTAACTTCGATGTGCACTGCCGCTCTCCAAGAAAGAACGCCCGCGATTGAATGGGTGACAAACTCCGATCGGCAGATGAAAGACTTGTTGCAGCATTTGGCTTTTATTTGGTTATGTTTTCAATCCAAGCGCACTACAGAACATGAAGACATGCACATGACTGTAGACACAACTGCACTCACGGACAGAAGCACTCGCACTGCACGATTTCTTTTTAAGAGCGAGGGGTGCAGACTGGTAATGATTTCGGTTCCACATTCGTGGCCGATGTTCAGAAAAAGAAGGCACGGCTGATATCGTCCTGCATTGAGATTTTCCGGCAAGTTCCTGCAAGTAAAAGCTTCCCGCAAGTGAAAGGCAGATGATGCCACTCCCCGAGGGTGGGTGGGTGGGACAAAAATTTTCTCACGCCTGCAAGCAAAACTGCGATTACCAAGACAAGCGTGGTAAAGCACTCGTGAGAAAACAGCAAGTCATGCGAAATACTCCAGCAAGGCATGACAGAAAAAGTGCGCCGAAAAATTGTAAACAATTTTTTCCGACATGAAAACAATCAAATAAGAAAACATCCCCCTTCGGGAGAGTTTGTTCTTATTTGGTTATGTTTTCAATCCAAGCGCACTACAGAACATGAAGACATGCACATGACTGTAGACACAACTGCACTCACGGACAGAAGCACTCGCACTGCACGATTTCTTTTTAAGAGCGAGGGGTGCAGACTGGTAATGATTTCGGTTCCACATTCGTGGCCGATGTTCAGAAAAAGAAGGCACGGCTGATATCGTCCTGCATTGAGATTTTCCGGCAAGTTCCTGCAAGTAAAAGCTTCCCGCAAGTGAAAGGCAGATGATGCCACTCCCCATTCAAGATCAGATGCCGCTAGAACAACAGCTCTTCGCCTGGTATCCAACGGACTCTGAAGCTAGTGGGAAGCTTGCCAAGCACAAAGCGTGAAGGATCGTCGGCTGGGTTTGCAGACGACTCCACTCTCTCGAACCATACACTCAATCCTTTCTCATCCTCAAGCATGCTGAGCTTGTTGAGCTGCGATGCCACCACCGGTGATTCGGAAGCACACTTTATGAGAGCTGCGAGGGCGGCTTCATTGTCGCAATAACAAATGAGATTGCAGTCACTCAAGGAATTGCAAAGCTGCACCACGCCCTGCACTGCGGCACATGCCTCCAACTCGTAGATCAGACCTTGTTTGCCCTCTTTGTTTATGGCCTCCAGAACGTCTGTGTCGGCAGACTCCGAGTACCACCTAAGAAGCAAACCCCCATCACTATAAAGGATGCCCCCGAGACCTGCTGGCACATCAGCCTCATAAGAAGCGTCCGTGAACAGGTGGTAGGTGGGGCGATCGCAGGCCCTGATCGTCCTTGCTTCCCCGTGCAAAACTCGATCCTTCAAGAAAAGCAGGGCCTCGGTCAAGGAGTCGTCAAGAACCACGAAACCCGAAAGCTTCATTGCTTTTGATATAGCTCGCATGCGCTGGGCCGCACCCCGACCAAACACCTGCGACTCGGCGAACTGAAGACGACCTCGCAAGCATTCAAGTTCTTTGGCATGTGCTCCGCCATGCTGCACGATGGCTTCGATGGTGGACACAAGCTCGCGCTTCCTAGCCTCTGTGTTCTGTACCCTGAGCAGACCTAGGTGGATCTCGTCCAAGCAAAATTCTACCCCTAAGGCTTTTGCCACACTTCTAAACCCAGTGTCCTTTTCGTCGGACGTTTCCCAGCCGATCAAGGCAAAGTACGACCGCAACACAAGATCAAGGTGACCCTTTTCCTCCGGAGAAGACACTGCCACGAAATCGTCGAAGAACACGCTCCAGTGGATGTGGAGCAGGGCCTGCCCCACACTCCATATTGCCCCCGAAGCACGACAGAATCCTTGTACTGATGGTTTAGCACCAAAGGGTAGCACCTGGCTTTGGTAAAGCTCAGGTTCACCCGTATCCGGGTTAAGCACACATATATAAGCATCCCCCAAGGCCTGCTCCGACAAAGGAAGTTGTTTATAGGCTTTACGCAGATCTATTGTACGGAGGAGCAAGCGCGCATCCTTCCCGGACTTCCGTAGCAACTTGCACCGTTTCAGGATCCCGGCCACAATGACGTTCACTGAATGCGGGTCGATGGTTTCCGCACATGTGCACGACAAGTTAGCCAAGCTTTCTGTGAAGTCGTCGATAGGCCGGATCTTAGCTGCCACACCTGTGGCCGTTGTCGTCACGCCTTGCCTGACGCCAAAACGGCGTGTAATGATGGCAGTCTCCGGCACATCGGCGAGAGTGAAGGGGCCTGTCAGCCACCCTTTATCCCGCTCCTCCAAGGTAAGGCGATACACTTCCGAAGTGATTTCAGGGTCCCTGCAAGTGCGGGTAGTCTCCCAAATCGCCCGCTGATTTGCCGGGGTGGCAATTCTTACGTCCTCAATGCTGAGAGATGCCACGGTGGTCTTCTTCGGCAAGACGGACGAGGAAGGGATCTCACCAAGCAAGTCAAAACCGTGCTGTATATCTCGTACCAGGTTCACATCAGCATGTCCAGCAGCCTCAACCATCTCCCCGAAGAGTTTCATGGGTTTGCCAGCTAATACCTTCTTGCAGTGCTCGGGTCCATCAAAGCTCTCGTCAAGCTCTTTCTTCCTAAGCACCCATTTGCGAAGTTCGGCCGTACGATCCCTGGCCACACTGACCGAGCTGTGCTCACACAAACGATCAATACATGCCGACATGCCGGCTGGCACGCCTTGGTCCAAGGAACGTGGGTGCTTCGCTTTGCAAGCCTGCTCAACGAACTCCGAGGGCGACCACGGTATGCCAAAGAGCAATTCAAGCCCCGGCTTGACATTTGGAGTCGCACTGGATGTGTTCAAGGGTAGGGCAGGTACCGGTTGGCACTGAGGAGCTAGGGAGTCGGGACTACCTAAAACCACACCCTCAGCAGGTGCCGGATGGCACGGGCACGGGGAGTCGGAACTACCTAAACCTGCACCCAGGGTAACTTCGGGCACATCCGAGGCAGGCGCCAAACCCCTTGGAACAAAAGGGCTGGCTCGGATGCACTTGGAACCGGGCGGCAATGACTGAAGGAAAGGTTGGCAGAGCACAGTTTTGGGAACCGCCCACGTCGACACCAGCTTGGTCTTTGAGGTGCACGGTAGCTGATCGGCTGGGCCTGACACTTTGACTGTGCGAGCGAACTCAGAAACCAGTGGAGGAATCTTCCGACCTGAAGGTTGCGTTGCTGTAGCTACACGGGCGCCCAATGAGAGCGACAGTGAAGCATTCTCGAGGGACCTCGCCGGGGCGCGCGCACCGCATGCAATCAGTTGATCCACAAGTGCTTGGGCAAAGGCCTTGCACAGCATAGGCGGAAAGCCGGCGTCCTTCGTTTGGTTTTGTGCAGGAGAACGCCACGGCTCATGAGCGTGGGCGCCATCACATGTCACACCAAGCTTTTGCAAGTACGGGACCGTATGCAAAAGGCGAGTAGCCTTTCTCCTGTAGGATCCAAACATGCACTGATGCAAGGAGGTAGAGAGGAAAGGAGAAGATTGGCATGAGCGGAGTGCCGCAGTGAGCCACATGATAGATCGGCTTGGGTGAGCTGTGGAGCAAAATACCCCATGGTTCCAACACAAGTGCCAGACCTCGGCGCACATGGCAAAGAGTGCGTTAGCCCCTTGGACCAGCTCAAGATCAGTACCCTGCAAGCCTGGCAGACCTTCAGGGTGCGTTGCATTGCGAAGGACACCTGAGCGAGGGCCTAGGAGACCGGCCCCACTGGTGGTTACAGGTGGAGACAGGTGGCACGCGACCACGTGAGGCTGCTTGAGAAGATCAAGCAGAATGGCCCGGGATCCCGCCTTCGTGAGGTCCAGCGAGATAACAGGACATTTGCAACCCCGCTGTGCGTGACGGTCGAAACCGACACTTAGTTTCATGCTTAGCTGCCTAAGGGATGCGCAGAGTCCCCCCGTTCCACAGAAAACATCGAGAAACATAAGACTATCAAGAGGCAACCCTTTGACCTTTGCAGCGACCTTAGAAAGCAAGGGCTCCAAAGCTCCGGCAGGCGGTGGTACATACGCCAACGGTGGGTTGGCGGTGGATGTTGAGACCGAAGGCCTAAACCCAAGGGATTTAAGGTGCTCAAAGTCAAGGCTGGGTAATTGGGCAACATCGCCGCCTGAAAACAAGATGAGGACTAGCCTATCGCCCGTCCACGGCATTGTGCAATGCAGGCGCTTGCGAGCATAGAACCGCACTGGGGCCGCGGATACATCATACAAGTCTCCAGGGACCAAGGACCCATTGACAGGCAGCACATGGCCGCCCGACTCGGACTGCACCCAGATGTGCCCACCTGAGAAAGTGGTCACAGCCAGCACGAGATTGTCAGCATCGTCGTTATTTACATCGCGGTGAACCTCAGTCTTAACATTGAGGTTCAGAGAAATCGAGCAAAACGTGAAGTCGGATAGCTCTTGCGGCCCGGCCTGCTGCATGGCCCAGGTGATGGCCAAACTAACCGATTGGGGAAAAGAACGGCAGGTGTTCGTGAGGCCAACGACGCCCCCATGTCGGAAGACACCCGCAACAAAGGATCTGCCAGAGTCAGAACTGAATCGCTCATCCGTCTTAGAAGGTAACAAATTAAAAAGGCGCTCAACACAAGTTGCTGTCACAGGTTCACCAGACGACAGAACGTCCTGCGCAAATTGCTCTGCTGGATGCAGAGAGGCATGCACTCGCCGCTCAGCGGGCAAGGGAAAAACTCGCTCATCAATCACAACATTTGGAACTTGATTAGGCACTGAAGTGGCTGGCTTGGGACGTTCCAATGGGCCAGCCGGGTCAATCAGTGCTGGTGTGCAGACAGGGCTCGCCGCATGGGACGAGACCGAAAGGCTCATCGCCTCATCAACGAGAGAATCGGCCTCGGGAGCCTCAGCCTCCTGTCACTCGTTGACTTTGTAAGCCGGGCATTGGAGAAGGGAGTGTGGCTGCTCGCAGAACATACAAATGTGCAAGCCCCGCTTGCAGCTCTCACCGGCCTTGGCAAACTTACACCCAGCTTGCAAATTAAAATTCCAACACAAGCGCTTCTTGGTCTTACTGCAGTTGTGCTTCAAGCGTGAATCGGTTAACGCATCAGGACACTTCCCTTTGCCAGCGCCTTTGTTGGGGCGATGGGGCACCTTTGGCTTGCCATCAGCATCACGCTTGATGCCCTTGTCGCCTTTTCCATCGCCCTTCCACTTAGCCCCAGGAAGCGGGGCCAAATGCATCATGATTTTGGGATCATACTGAAGCTTGTCCAGAGCAGCATCCATCGGAAGATTTCCCGCATCATCCTTTTTGAGAGAAGTCAAGAACTCGCTCATGCGCACCCATGCTGCCTTGTCGCACCTGAGCAGCTGCTCCATCGAAACCTTGGCATAGTAAGGAGGCGGCTGCTCAGACAGCTTGGCAAGCAAGTGCCTGTGCCACATGTCCATGGTTGCAAAAGTGCAGAGCTGCAGAAGATCACAAGCAAGTGCTCTGCGACACAGGGCTTCGGAGAGCTGCAACTCATTCTGAATGCCACACTTATCCTTGTGGGCCTTGTCGCGGATGCTCATACGCGAGCCCTCATCTAAGATCAATTCCTTTCCCGGCTTCTCCCGATTCACCTCCATGGCCCTGGTTAGGAACCTGTGGGGCTCCAAGTAGGAAAGGCAATCCTGATCAACGACCTGTGCGACATAAGTGTAATTGCTGAAAGCGTTCTCAAGAGGGCCCGTCAAGCTGAGTCCTATGAGCCTTTTACGTTGATCAGCCAGACGATTGGCTCTCTCGGCGGGTGCCAACTCCGCCTTCCTCTCACCTTCGCCTTCAATCGAGCTCTTGAGCTGTGCAATAGACAAAGTTTGAGCCTCGAACATGAGGCGCCGCAACGCCGACAGTGCTCGTAATGGCACAGCCGTCGGCTCCGTGGGATCAAGGATGGACCTGAGCTCAGCTTCCTGCGGCACCTCGCCCGGGGTCGAGACACTGAAGGCAAGGAGCGACAAAGAGGTCAGTCCCTTTCGCACAAGCACATCGAGCTCAGCCTGCGCCAAACCGCACTCCTTGGCCCTTTCCTCGAAGGCCGCTTGACTCTTCAGAATGGACGACATGATGCAGAGTCGAATCCTACACGCTCAGAATCAGTGAAGACTGCATGCGAGCAAATGTCCTAACTCGACAGTCAATTCGATCCCGCAAGATAAAAATCCAGCATGACATGACACATGATCCCGCAAGGTGTCTGAGCCGTCCTGCATGAAAACACAAACGATATCCTGCACGCACTCACCATCGAAAGAAAAGCACTGCAGGCAAGCGGGAAACCCTGAGGCCTCCAGGCTCATGGGGGGCTCACTCCGAAGCACTTCAGCAGTCTTTTACTCGGACCTCGGAATCTTCTTCAATCGCTCGTCAAGGCAATGCACCAAGGACCCCAAGTCCCTGATGGGCTTTCCCTTCCAGCACTGCTTGCAGCGCCAATGCGCCGCTTGAACCGCCGACGTGAACGGCTTGTGGTTCGCCGTGATATCACGGCCGCATATAAAACGCTCCGTGGAGCTTCCCGCAGGCTTGAGATGAAGGGTCCTTGTGTTCTTCTGCTGATAGACAGGGCACCGATCGTGATACCTCTGCCCCACGGTGGGGTCTGCTTGACTCGCAGTCAGGACCTCATCTATCTCGCTGTCAGACGAACCTGAATCAGAGCTAGACTCGCTAGATGAAGAGGCACTCGCCTCCTCCCCCTGGGATCCACCGTCCTCGAAAGCAGCATCAGGGTCTTCCCAGGCGGCGCGCTCTGCACTGTGAATCAAGGAGTCCACGGCACGGCCGAAAGGGGTGTCATCGTCACTGGCGTCCTTTTGCTCTGCAGAGCCCGGATCAGAGGCAAGAGCATTCACACTAGGAAGAGCCTCAGAGTCGCACATCGAACCAGGGCTGACCGCCGGCCTGTACCAGTTCCTTTCTGCCTCGGTCTCGAACACGCTGTCAACAGGCAGCTCCTCGGTCGCGTCAGTAGCGACATGGCCCTTTGCATAAAGCCCCGACCGCGTCATGTCCGGAAGATACCTGCCACACCGGATGTCGCAGTACGGCCCCGCTTGGATGTCTCTAGAGTAGGTTACGACCGATCGCCGATCCTTCAAGGAGTGATGTCCCAGGATGGTGCAAGAGTCCTTGGACATGTCTGTCTTGCTTGCCCATGACAGGGCAGTGTGCTTGCAAGAATGGCCCTTGAGATCGATCCCCATGCTAGCATCCCCGGACTTAAGGATCGAGGAGATCCAGGACACAAACCGGCCCGTCGGAATCCGACGACCGCTCCAAGACCCATTGAGCATAGGCGATTGTAGCAAAGGCAGGCTGCTTGCTCCGGTGGCGACCGGATGGCCTGACAAGCGCCACACCTCAACCCAAGCTTTAGCCCAAAGACCTTGACCCACACCCCTCTCGGGGGCCACTAGGCTCAGCTCTAGCCCCAACGGGTTGCCTGTTGAAGCACACTTGTGTGACGTTGAGATGCACTCAAGGAAACCTTCGCCCTCAGCGAAATCGACGAACATCGACTTGACTCCCCTCACATCCCCTACACGGGCTCGTGAGTGAATGCAAAACAAGCAAGCACCTGCAGCATATCTATCCCTTGCATCACGGCGGCTGTCCTGGACGAAAGCTTCAAGGTATGCCACCTCGCGAACCTGGAAGGGCCTGGCTTGCACACGAGGCGGGCGGTTGAACCGCACCTTGCGAAGACGCCCTTGCACAAGCGGGTGCTTGTGAGGATCACCAATGGCATCCACTCCTAGAATGAATCTAGCGAAGTTACAAGCTTCGATGCAAGATCCAAACACGGAATGCGAGGCACCACTCTGCTGCAAATGCTGAGTGTACTCTATCAACACTTGAGAGTCAATCGGAAAGGCTGACATACCCTGGTTCGAGCACCATCCCACTAGGCGGGCAAGACTGGACAACCGCTTCTTCAAGGTCGATAGAGCCTTGCCACCCAAGGCTTCTGCAACAAGACTGACCCGATCTGCCTCGCATTTGTCCTTCAACAGTCTGCCAAGTGAAGAGCAATCGTATGCATGGCTCAAGAGGACATCGTACCTGGCTGCAAGCAGCTGCAACTGCTGCTCCTCAGTTTCTTGGGGCTTCTGAAACTTCCTGGCAGAGAAAGCGACCTGCACAAACTGCGAAGCATGCTCTTGGGGGTGAGCTTTCGCAGCTGCCTCCTCAAAGGAAGATGAATCCAGGGGCTCCGTCTGCAGAGGAGCTGGCACACTGCACTGGGAAAGGGAATGCAAGTCACCCTGAGAAAACACTGCCCTCATTGCCCCGCGCTCCCAAGGCAACTTAAGGGAGTGCTTCGACACATGTTTGTCTGCCTCAAGCAACAGCCTATCAAGCGGCCGCGCCATACCCCAGGAATTGCGGGCGCTCCCCTGCAGGTATAGTCAGTCCTCAAGAGAGTAGTCTGAAGAGTCGCTAAAGCCTGAGGGGCAAATCCACAGCAAGACGTGTTGCCGTCGGAGCAAAATGCAAGAAGCTCGCAAGCAGCGAGCACGATGTGTCCTCAAGCAGGAGACGATGGAATGCCACAGCTCGGGCTGAGCTGCGACAATCAGCAAAGGAGGCCCTCCAAATCGGAGGCTATCCATCTGCCGGCGACAGCCGGCGTGCACGAGCTCCTATGGAGCAGCCTTGTGATAGCACCCGGAGCCAACTTGAGCCAAAATCGCCTTGAGCCAAAATGGCTACGGGCAAGCAAAACTGCGATTACCAAGACAAGCGTGGTAAAGCACTCGTGAGAAAACAGCAAGTCATGCGAAATACTCCAGCAAGGCATGACAGAAAAAGTGCGCCGAAAAATTGTAAACAATTTTTTCCGACATGAAAACAATCAAATAAGAAAACATCCCCCTTCGGGAGAGTTTGTTCTTTCTCAAGCTTGCTCTTTGCAAGTGGGCGAAGTTGCTCACCCTGTGCTGAAGCCGAATCGACGCTGTCTTGCGAAAGTTCGGCTGAGCACAACAGAATGAACATGGCATGGTTTCTATGATGTTAGTGTTTCCTGAGAACGATGTCATGCCTGCTTAAATGGTTGGATGCCATCTTGCCAGGATTATGGAACTTGGTTTGCTTCCAACTATGGCTTTTGTCTACATACTGACTCAATGTTATGCTTGTTCTAAGCATCCATCTGATAGCTTGCTGTAGCTCGCGACCGGCATGAAACGTGTCACTGTACATCTCCTGAGTGGAGAACAGGTTTCATTGGAGGAGGCGCGAGCAAGAGGTAGGGGTCGCCTTGATTCGGGCAATCTCTACCTCTTCCTCGAAGCGGCTTTGAGCTCGAGCGCGTTCTCTTGTGCGTTGCTCCGCCGCGATGGTTCGGTCGCGTCCTATGGGAATGCTATGACTGGTGGTGACAGCAAATCTGTTCAGGACCGTTTGAAAAACGTGCAGGCCGTTGCATCGTCTCAGGAAGGGGCCGCCTTTGCGGCGATTCTTGATGATGGATCCGTTGTTACATGGGGCGCGCAAGACTACGGAGGCGGCATCGAGCCCGCTATGCAAAATCAGCTGAAGAACGTGCGGCAGATTCAAGCGGGTCGATCTTCTTTTGCTGCTATCAAGGCCGATGGTTCTGTTGTTACCTGGGGCTCCCGAACTGGCGGTGGGGACAGCCTGAGAGTGCAGGAGTTTTTAATGAACGTGCAGGCCATCCAGACCACCGGCGATGCTTTTGCGGCAACATGCACAGATGGCTCTGTCGTGACGTGGGGAAGATGTGTACACGGAGGCGACTCCAGTGGAGTGCAGAAGCAACTCAAAGGCGTGCGGCAGATTCAAGCGTCACTAGAAGCCTTTGCGGCGCTGCTCGACGATGGATCTGTCGTTACTTGGGGCAAATGCAGTTCTGTGCCTGTGCAAAACGTCACCGCCATCCAATCCTCATCGAGGGCTTTTGCAGCCATTCTGACCGACGGATCCGTTTTTACATGGGGTGAAGACTTCAGCGGAGGCGACTCTAGCGCGGTGCAGGAACAGTTGTGCAATGTATCGGCCATCCAATCGACGACGCATGCGTTTGCAGCGATCCGCACAGATGGTTCCGTGGTTACATGGGGTGGGGGTCGATATTCTGGTGCGGACAGCAGTGAAGTGCAGAAACGGCTGAAGGACGTTAGAGAAATCCAAAGTAACCGCGGAGCCTTTGCAGCGCTTCTACGCGATGGCTCCGTCGTAACCTGGGGCTGTGGCCTTCATGGTGGCAACAGCAGCAAAGTGCAACATCAGTTGACAGATGTGGAGCAAATCGCAAGCAACTTCAATGCTTTCGCTGCCATTAAGGCCGACGGCACGGTTGTATCATGGGGCTTCCCAGAGCGCGGTGGCGACAGCAGTGCCGTGCAAGATCAGCTCAAGAATGTGCGGGGTATCGCAGCCTCCGCTCTTGGTTTTGCTGCCGTTCTTGACAACGACCAAGTCGTGAGCTGGGGCGACTGGGTGGCGCGGCCCTTGACTCCACGGTGAGCCGTGCGGGCTGTGAATTCTTTGCTCTGGCTAGCTTCCACCGTTGCTTGCTTGCTTCGACGCTGTCTTGCGAAAGAGCAAGCAAGCAACAACGACGCCGCCACGAGAAGAAAATCGCTTGTTTGTTGTTTCTTCTGCTCGTGGCAGAATGACGCTGTCTTGCGAAAGTTCGACTGCGTGGGCGGGGCAACCCTGTTGCCCAGGTTGCCTGCACTGCCCGGTCGCTTTGGATTCGTCGAGGCTGGGAAGGTCGGTCTAACAGAAACCTGTTCACTGTTCATTTCCTGAGATCCCGACTGCGGACTGCTGGGCTTGGTTGGTTTGATTTCAGAATTTCCGTTGTGGGGCTGGAAGGTGTTCGGGGTTCTCCTCAACCCGGTGTCCCGATTTAGGTTCGTTGCCTGCTGCTACTGTTTGGACCCTTGGATGATTCGTTCTTCCTCTTGAGAAAGTTCCATTGAGATGGCACACTTTGCAACCCTTCAGACGAGCTTAGTTAGCACTACTCCAAATGCGCGGCTTGTCTTGGTGGGACGGTGCCTGCGGCCTGTGCAAGCAACCTGCCAGTCCA